TTTTTTTTTTTTTTTTTTAATATATTAATGGGATAGCTCCTGAACCTGTCCCTTTATTGAAAACATTAACTGGAATGTTAATATATATATTGCAAAAGACCAAGGATGCAGTTGAATGGAAAATTACTCAGTATATAGAAAGGAAAAAAACCAGAAGTTTAAAATAGATACAGAAAAGTACAGTGGTAATATTTTTATTTCCTATTGGAGAGTGAATCCCCACAGTTGCTTTTTGTGACTTGATTTAAATGAGGTACTCATTATCGTTACTGAACTTGTAAAAGCATTCCATGTATTCAATGGAAGCAGAATGTATAATATTTTTTCCTTATAATTTAGTTTACAGGAAAATTATTTATTTTTTAAGTAGGGTATCTTAATTATGCTCATTTCTTCCCCTAAACCACATTGTCTATATGATTGGACCCTGTTTTATAGAGTATTTGTGAAATCAGAAAAATTAAATAGGCATGAATAAATGTTCAGGACACACATATACACTCACACACATCACAGTTTCAGCTCTTTAAGTGAGTTTGTATTAACTGGGTAACACATGTAACACATAGTAGAATACATTTCAGAGGCCGAGTTCTTTGGATTATTTTTTATTAATATTAGTCTTTAGCAGTTTATTATTTAAAGGGGTGCCAAATACTGCATCCTTGTGTTGTTTATTTTAAATATTTTTTTAATGAAAAGGGACTTAACCATGATCATCTAAATTACTTAAAATTTTTTAATCTTAGTAAAGCTTAGTTTTAGGAAAGTTATTTAGTTTAAATTTCAAATGTTTTAAAATTTGTAGGCATTTAATAAATTATCTTTTTTTGGGGGGTGGATGCTGCGTTTCATTGGAAATGTCATTTTTCCAAAGTTTCTAGCTAGGTACTCACTTTACTTCAAATAACTTAAGTCTGAAAGCAATGAAAACCTCAAAGGAAAATGTTCATATACATCCACACTTACTTAATATGTTAAGTTTCTCTTAACACCTGAAACTTGTTTTAAAACAAAAAGCAGTCTTCACTTCAAATCATAAACTTAGAATTCTGTATCTCATGTCAGAAATATGTTTATGATATTGCTTTTAAGTGGTGCTGTTTCCCATAGGGCATTACTCCTCACATTTTGTAATGTGAAATAATCACCTAGGGAGTTTGTTTAAAACGCACACTAGGGGGCTCACCTTAGGCTTCTTTGGGGGCTTTCAATCTCACTTTGAGAAACACCTCCTTCAGGCTATTCTGTGCTTGTCCTGTGGTTAAATATTAGAGTATTCATGATAAAACATGTTGAGAAGCGGTAAGCAGTGAGTTATTACCCACAATTTAAAGCAAATTTTGAATGAATAACTTTAAGTTAGGTATCTAACTTTAAGTTAGGCAGTATCTAACTGACTCCCAGCCCCACCCCCCCAAAATTCCTCTCAGTAGTTTCTATTAATAATGTACAAAATGATGAGCATTTTTCTATAATGAGGTTCTAACCATTATTCAGGGTGGTCTTTTGTTTTTAAATCTTTTTTTAACTAATAAGATTTATGGTGTATATTTTATACAGAAATGCATTATAAATGTTTTTAATTGTGTTCTGTTTTTTGCAGTCTTTAAGTGCCATGCCAGTTGTTTTTGTATTCTATAGAAGTTCATTCAAAGTACTCAACAGGGGAATAGGCAGTGGACAGTCAGAATGGTTGGAATTTTGGTGTTCTAAGAAAAACTTTATTTTGCATAAGCATGTGGTCAGATCATTTTGTGCATATGCAGCCTGGATTGGATGTTAAATAAATGCTTGTTCTGTGCCGGTACATTTACTTTATAAATCTGTTTTTATTTTTGTCATGTAGAATACTACTGTGGTCATCATAATGTAATCTGTATTTCTGTACCTTTTTTTTTCTTTGCAGTCTTTAAATAAAATGTATAATGCCCATCAAGAGTGGACCATTTTTAATATGTAGTATGTCAGAAATTTGTATAAGAACAAAGATGCATCAAAATTTGTTCAAGAAAAAATTAAAATTTTAGAGTTTGGAATTTTGCTGTACCTAAAGCAGCATTCTGGTAGAACTGATGCTGTAGTATTTACATTTAATAATGTTACATTTAGCTGGAGGATCAGTTGACCCTAGGAGTTTGAGATCAGCCTGGGCAATATAGTGAGACCCCATCTCAAGAAACAGAAAAATAAGAAATTAGCTAGGCATGCTGGCAAAGTGCCTATAGTCCCAGCTATTTGAGAGGCTGAGGTGGGAGGATTGCTTGAGCCCAGGAGGTTGTGGTTGCAGTGAGCGCTGATCATGCCACTGCACTCCAACCTGGGCAAAAATCGAGACCCTATCTCTAAAAAAAATTTTTAATGTTATGTTTATCAATGTAGACATTATTAAAAATTAGGAATTAAAATATTGTCCACTGTTTTATTTATTTTAGCAACAAGGTCTCACTCTGTCACCCAGGATAGAGTGCAGCGGCATGGTCATAGCTCATTATAACTGTGAATTTATAGGTTCATGAGATTTTCAGCTTGGAGTAGCTGGGACTACAGCATATGCCACCATACGTGGCTAATTTTTTTTTTTAATTTTTTTTTTTTTTTTTTTTTTTTTTGAGACGGAGTTTCGCTTTTGTTGCCCAGGCTGGAGTGCAATGGCGCGATCTCAGCTCACCGCAACCTCCGTCTCCTGCGTTCAGGCAATTCTCCTGCCTCAGCCTCCTGAGTAGCTGGGATTACAGGCACACGCCACCATGCCCAGCTGATTTTTTGTATTTTTAGTAGAGACGGGGTTTCACCATGTTGACCAGCATGGTCTCGATCTCTTGACCTCGTGATCCACCCACCTTGGCCTCCCAAAGTGCTGGGATTACAGGCGTGAGCCACCGCGCCCGGCCCCTTTAATTTATTTTTTAAAAGCCTACAGCACCCGGTATTCCCAGGCAGTCTCCTATCCAAGTACTAACCAGGCCCGACCCTGCTTAGCTTCCCAGATCAGACGAGATCGGGTGCGTTCAGGGTGGTATGGCCGTAGACAGCCAATTTTTTATTTTTTTTATTTTGGTAGAGATGAGGTCTCACTATGTTGCCAAGGCTGGTCTCAAACTCCTGAGCTCAAGCAGTCCACCCACCTTGGTCCCCCAAAGCGCTTAGATTGTAGACATGACCACCACACTGACCCCTCTCCACTATATTTTTAACTCCTCTTTCCATTCATCTCTTCTAATTGGAAAAAAAAAATAGTAAAACATCAGCTGAACATAGAATATTTTAACTGGTTTTAAAACTGAAGCAAGGCCGGATGTGGTGGCTCACTCCTGTAATCCCAGCACTTTGGGAGGCTGAGGGAGGTGGATCACCTGAGGTCAGGAGTTCAAGACCAGCCTGGCCAACATGATGAAACCCATCTCTACTGAAAATACAAAAAAATTGCTAGGTGTGGTGGCGCACACCTGTAATCCCAGCTACTTGGGAGGCTGAGCCAGGAGAATCACTTGAACCTGGGAGGCAGAGGTTGCAGTGAGCTGAGATCGGGCCATTGCACTCCAGCCTGGGCAACAAGAGCAAAACTCTGTCTCAAAAAATAAAACTGAAGCAAATGTAGACATTCAGAACAGATAATTCTTGTTATGCTTTACAGTGATCTAAAATCTAATGTTCTTTTTCAATTGCAACTAGTGTCCATATTGTGGCTAGTGTCTATATAAATAAGTGTGAACCTGGTGTGCTATACAATCCTTACTGTAACTTAGTTTTTCTTCCCCTCACAAGAGAATGAAATCTTAAGTGCCTTTACCTTTTTTTTTTTTTTTTTTTTTTTGAGAGAAGCGGGTTCTCACTGTGTTGTCCAAGCTGGTCTTGAACTCCTCTATCCATCCTTCTGCCTCAGCCTCTCAAAGCACTGGGATTACAAGCATGAGCCGCCATGCCCCATCTCTACTTTTCTTGATTGCAGGCCTGAGCCACCACACCCAGCCTTCCCAGATAGGATAATTATTTCATCCTAGTTTCAACTCTTGCTTAAAATGGGGTTCTAGGCAGTATTAGGAAAGTGCTTTCCAGGCTACTCCCTGTATCACATCATAAATGTGGTTGTTTTCTGTGAGTTAGTAAAATTCTAAAACAGACTCCGAAAGAGGATCTTGAAGCTTTAGGGAAATTTTGCATTAAGGCATTCCATCACTGGGATAACAAGTTTCTCCCCAAAACGTACAACCAGTCTCCAGTCCTTGAAATTCAACAACTTGCTTTCT